AGCCACACCTCCAGTCCATTTTTGCTCTAGTTATTTTGGAGATGGACTCTCTTGAACTGTGATCTTCCCAATCTCAGACTAGTGGCTAGAATAACAGGCATGAATCACTGGTGCCCAACAAGATTTTTCATGAGGTGCTTAACTAACCAAAAAGTACAAAATACCTAGATGACAATTTAAGATGAAAGTTCATTTTAAAGGTTGAAGTGATTGGATTATATTATATGTTCATAACAGATAGTTCAGAACTCACCTCTTCATTGGTACTGGCATATGAGAATGTTAAGTGCAGGAAGTAGTGTTAAAGAGCAAATCATTTTTCTTTTTTTATATGAATTATCTTTTTCTTTTTGAGTTTCTAAAAGTTGATATTTTTAACAGTTTATTCTTAGCCAAGAAGATCTAACAACAATTTTCAAAACATTATATGAGAATATATGGTATGAAGATGTCAGTGCCTCACCTGCTGTAAAGAAAGATGAAAGTATCATTACTAGTACTTCACACCATTCAGGAGGTATGTTCTTAACCCTACATCATTGCTCACTTCTCTGTCTTCTCTTTTGCCCTTCCTTCCTTTCCTTCTTTCTTCCTCCTTCCCCCTCCCCTGGTTTGGGCAAAATAGGGTTATAAGTCCTTTTTTCTAATTAATTTCATTTAGGAATTTTTAAATTATCCCTGTTATTAGTGTTATTATTCTGTTGATTTTTTTTTCTTTGAATCAAAGTTCCTAGTCCTATTGTTTAAAAAAAAAAATCTTTAGTATTTAGTCTGGTTTTCAATCTGAGTGATGCTTTAGTTCAGAATGCCAAATTCTAGAATATTAAATATTACAGAACAAATAACTGAAAAAGGTAGAAGAGAAAAAGCTTTCAAAGAAGTAAGAAAGTTAAATTCTGTAGACCTACATTGCATAGAAGTCATCTCTTAGATTAAAAAAAAGTAAAACAACTAATGATTTTGAGCAGAATAAGTAAACTGAGACTCCCCATGCAAGCACATTTTCATGAAATATCAGGTAAAGGTAAGATTAAAATTTTTCAGGGGAAATAAATAAATAAAAATTTTCAGAGAAAAGAAGCAGGCTGTCTATTAGCGGTTGGAGAAAAAATGATTAGATGATCGATTTTTGTTTTGTTGCTTTATCAATAAAACTGGGTGAGATGGGATGGCTGTATGATAAAAGATAATAAAACAGTTTTTCAAAAATTCTAAGCAATGTATGACTTTGAAGTTAGGGTTCTATACATTGTCAAACCATCATCCAAAATGTGAAAACAAAATATTTCTCAGATTTCAGTGACTCAGAATTTACTCAATTCCCTCATACCCTCTTCTGAGGAAATTTATTATTGTTGTTTTTTGTTGGTACAAGGTTTGAAATCAAGGCCTACACCTTGAGCCATTTCAGCAGCGTTTTCTTTTGAGATAGGATCTCCCTGGTCTGGCTAGAACCACAATCCACTCTGATCTCTACCTCCTGAGTAGTTTAGACTTACAGGTATAAGCCATTGGCACCTGCTCTAAGGAAATTATTTAAAAAATAGAAAGAGGAAAATCGGGGATCAAGCCACAGTTGTTACCCATTGAAAAGGAGTCCCCAAATTATTTATGTAACTAGGATTGAAGTAATTGATTTTCATTAAAAAGAAACTCAGAATGTTTTAAGGAAAAAAAAAAAAGATGAGTAATATCTTAAGAAAAAAGACTGGAGACATAGTTCAGTGTTACAGTATTTGCCTAGCATGCACAAGGCCCTGTGTCTGATTCCCAGCATAATAGGTGTATTGATTAATTAGCTATATTATGTAAGTGATTCAGAAAGTAAGACATCTTGTTCTTTCTAAGAAAAAAGTTTCTACTATACTCTTAGTGCAGATCTGAAGGAAACTCAATTTTTCATAATTTTTGAGCCATTGTTAAATGTGGCACAAGAAGACCTCTTCATTTGTTAGATAATACACTAGTGAAATTCTAGCAGCAGTCAGTAGTAGAACAAATTGTAAATCTCTTCACTGAAAAATACCCTATAGTTAACACATGAAAGGCTAACATGTAGTTGCCAAAACATGTTTAGATGACTTGGTTATGGATCAGGGTTTCCTGTGTAGCAAGAGCAGCTCTCTTGCTGCAATCTATTGAAAGTTAGCCCTCAACACAAGGGTTCAACTGACCGGAAAAAAAAAAAAAAAAAAAAAAAAAGGCAGAGGAAGACTATGTAAAGAAGAAAGTAAATGGTATTAACTGATACAGTGCAAGTAAAGGTGAAACTGATTAAAGCTGGAAAGAAAAAGAGGAGACAAGTGAAGGTAATGGACTTAAGTCTAAAATTAATGGAACAGGAAATAGAAATTTAAATATATAATTTTTAAACCATTTTCTCCTGAAAATTTTTACACATATGCCAAATTATTGGAATTCAGTAATGAAGCCACCTGTTCCTATCACCCACTTGCAGCAGTTAGTATCATGGCTCTTTTGTTACTGCTGTACCTCTGCTTCTCTTTCCTTTCTTCCTCCATTCCCTAGAGTATTTTAGGCAAATCTCAGATGTTACACCATTGGTTGCTATTTGTCTATAAACAATAAAGACTTTGCTTTAAAAATCAGTTATGTTAACATTATCACCCATAAAATTAACCATACTTTTGAAACCATAAAATACCACTTACCATTTATGTCTCTCCTGATTGTCTCATAAATGTCTCTTTAAAGCTTTGATATTTACCTTAAATATCAATTCGCAAACAGTACTGAATTTGGATATAGCCTTATAGCAGAGCTTTAAAGATTTAGCAAAACAGTGACACACTAAAGAGGAAAGTATGTGCAGGTACCAGTGGCTCATGCCTGTAATCCTAACTACTCAGGAGGCAGAGCTCAGGAGGATCGCAGTTTGGAGCCAACCTGAGCAAATAGTTTGTGAGACCCTATCTCGAAAAACCCTTATCACACAAAATTTGGGCTGGTAGAGTGGCTCAAAGTGAAGGCCTTGAGTTCAAGCCCCAGGACCACCAAAAAACAAAAAAAAAGGAAATATGCAGAATCATAGTTGGAGATTTACCATATCACTGTTAGTAATTGGTAGAGAGATAGACAAAAAAAATCGCAAAGAATATAGAAGACAAACATGGTGAACAAATGACTAATTGATATTATAAATACTTCCATCAACATTTGCAGAATGCAGTATTTTTAATTGTTACTGGAATATTCACAAAGATAGACCATTTTGGGGATCATAAAATTAGACATAACAAAAGGATATCAAAGGTGATTGAAATATTTAGACACTTAACAATTTCTAAATAATCCAACAGTTTCTAAATAACCATGGGTCAAAAAAAACAGATGACAAGGGAAATTTGAATGGTGGAGGAACATAAAACATCAAAACTTGTGGAATTCAACTTAAGTAGTGGTGAAAGACATTTGTAGCTATAAATATTAGAAAGGAAAACAGTTTAAAATCAAAGTTATCACATTTTCCACCTCAAGAACTAGACGGGCAACTTAAACTCAAGGTAAATCAAAGGAAGTAAAATAAAATAAAATATGAATAGAAACAACAAAAGAGAACAGAAAAACAACACAGAAAAATTAGCGAAGTCAAAAATAGTTTCATTGGGAAGACTAATAAAATTGACAAAGCCCCAGCAAAGTTGTCTGATAATTGAAAGAGAACACAAATTCCCAGTATC